TGGGTCGTGAAATAACAAGTGAGGGTCACAAAATTATATTCCGAAACAATATTTTCACCACAGATATTTTAAAGAATAAATACAATAATCAAAAATGAATAACAATAGCATCACATGATTGTTGTGTAGTCATGATACTGTTGTTTAATTGGATATTAGCAACGTTTCTATCATTAAACTGGTCATTTTGGGAGTCCCAAGCCTCTGCAATGGCTATTTTGTGGGAGGATGAAAAGTTTGAAAGTCACCGGTAAGTTCTTGGTCTGGATGGGTCTGCAATCTGCGGCTCTGGAGCCACATGCGGCTCTTTGGTTCCTCTGCAGCAGCTCTTTCAAGCTTTGACCAAAACTAACAGAAAACTGAATGTTATACAAAAAGGACTAGTTTTAGCAGCTTTCCTGTCATTCTTTTGTAAATATGTGAACACACTGGAACAAGTACAAGGAGTAAAACATACTCACTTTAACTTTATTTCTATACTTAATTAGTTTGTCCACAATTAAAAACATCACATAGGTCTGCACAGTTCCAACAAACCTAAAGTGGCCCATGGGCCATCAGTTGATAAACACAGTTGTAGCAGGTTGTTACGGCTCTGAACAGTTTTAATTTAATGAACGAAGGTGTAAAAAAATGGCTCTTTTGATCGTAAAGGTTGCAGAAGGTCTGGAAAAATTGAAAAAAGTTGAAGGAAATAACACTGCACAACCTTTTTTAAAACTGCTATAAAATATTCCAGACCTGACGCAAGCAATTTGCTCAAATCTTGTGGTGAGCCTCTCAAACATAAAGAGGTCAATGCTGCTCTCGTGTGGATGATCAGGCTTCTTACAGGGGATTATGAAATATTTCATCAGCCTCTGAAAACAGGGTTTGGTTTAACTGAACTGTTGTAATCTGGCAACCCACCAACAGAGGGCGCTCCGACACAACAAAAAGTCAGTTGTCCTTTAAGACAAAGGCACACTTTAAATCACCTTTTAAATTATTTTATAACATTGACATAATTGTGCACGCCGTGGTACCACAGTGTGGCTGTAAGCCTCAAACTCTGAGCTGATTGTATTGTCTAAAGGTGGGTTTCTTTTTCCCATTAGGATCATGTGATTCAACAAGCCTGGAGCCTGCAGCTGTAACCACGTCAGCATCCAGTTCACAGAAATGCAGCTCAGCCAGCTGTTGCTGAACGTTTGCACACGAAACTGTCGATTCGTGTACAGAGAACCTGCCAAGATATTGGGGGGGGGGGGGGGGGGATATGCAGGAAGCTGACTGTGCTCGACGTTAAAGGGGCAGTGTCCTTTGAAAGAGGCTGCTTGCTGCTGGGTCAGCAGACAACCGGCTCGGCCCGGTTTGATCCAGCCCCAGTGGTGCAGGATGCAATTAGTAGTAAATAAATAAATAAATAAATAGACAAATACAAACACGGTTCTTTATGATGCAATCATGCGTTGTTAGTAATTTAGTCCACATGAACTTTTCTTACATTGAGAAATGACTACTTAAATACAACAAATCTTATTCAGACGCGTTAATTAGACTTAAAAATGGCATTCTCACAAGAGAAAAGCATTTGAAGTGTATCCCCCTCACACACACACACACACACACACACTGTTTCGATAATCAAGCAAAAGTGAAATTTTTTAAATAATTTATTTGCTGATAATAGGCTCCTCAAGCAGTTTCACGTTCATGTGTTTTACGCGAGAGTTGGTCAAATCTCGCGAGACTTGAGCAGTCGGGACGAGAAGGATTTATTCACATGTTTCACAATAGAACTGGCTTTTACACCATTTAAATATTATTTAAACTTTAGTGTTTTGTTGTTGTTGTTTTAATTACAGCATTCAGTTATGTTGTCACTTATTTTCCTTGTCTGCAAGTTAGTGTACATGGGATTTCTGTTAAAAAAAAGTGCTGTGCCTTTATAATGTAGAATGTTACGTGTTTTTATTGTTTATTGGGTTGGCTTTGCAAGTTTAATGGCACAACAGAAAGAAAAACAAAAGCAGAAAGTGAAAGTCGCAAGTTAGATAACATGCATTCAAGCAGGGGAAAGGGTTTCACGTTTTAGTCGTAATTAGTAGGAAAAAGCTACACAGAACCAAACTAGATGGTACAAGTCCATCAGCATTCCATAGAAATGGAGCAACGACCAGCGTGCATATGGGGATTTTCTCTGGGTTTTCCTTTCACAGACCTAATGCATGCATGTTTGGTTTATTGATGACCATAAAATTGCCCCCAGGTGTGAGTGAGAGTGTGAATGGTTGTTTGTCTCTGATGGACTGGAGACCTGTGCAGGCGTCCCCCACCTCTCACACAGTGACAGCTGGACAAGGGCACCAGCTCCCCGCAACGAAGAAGTGCATAAAGAAAAATGATGAACAATATGGATGGATTTTTAAAAAAAAGAGTTGTTATGTACTCTGTGTTATAAAAGGCAAGGAACCTGGATAAAGTAAAATCAGCTGAAACTGTATGGCACAACATTTAATGTGGTGAACAAATAAGATGTCCATTCCTGTAATTAAAAGTGTTTAATTTGTTCTAATCTGTGGCGTCGGTTTTGAAAAATGAAAATCTAAATTGGTATTCGATTGATAGTACACTCTTTTGATTAAAAGCAGTTTGTGTGATTCAGAATCATGAGGCAGTGAACGACATAATCTGTGTCGTATAGTGTATGTTCCCAAAACAAGCCAAGTTTTTATTGTTTATAAAATCTGTGGGGTTACAATTAAGAATTAAAGAACTGCAAAAGGTATCAGCAAAGTTTAGCTTGAAAAAACACAGTTAAAGGTTATTCCTCAAAAGTATGTCCATGTCAGTCTGAAATAAATGCTGTTATAGTCGGAATTGGTGGAATGTCTAAAGGCTAGAGAAGGTGAGACTGTGATCGGAAGGTCGTCGGTTCGACTCCCCAAACAGACCACATCAAAATGTAGGTGGGAAAGATGAAGCATCCACACCATTTGCCCCACTCTGGGCCCTTGAGCAAGGCCCTTAACCCCCACCATCTGCTCCCCCGGGCGCCCCTGATAGCAGCTCTCTGCTCCACACAGAGGGCTGTGGTAGCTCGATGGTCTCTGTGGTTGTGTCAGGAAGGGCAGCCGGCGTGAAAACAATTGTCAAGTCTTCCTGCGGTTTAGTTGACTGTGGCGACCCCTGAAGAAGGGAGCAGCCGAACAAAGAAAAAGTCTGTACTTAATTCATCAAGCGAATGATTGATTAATAGTTCTTGACTGAACTACAAAACAGGTTTTGTTTTTAGCATCTACCTCAACAATCTTTCAAGAGCTCTCAGCTAAAATTTTTGCTGGTTTTAACGTTTAGATGCAATTTTTAGATTTTGGCTATGGCTTTGCCATGCAAATTAAGATTATATTAATTCTAGCTTCAGATTTGCTAAATTTAGTTTTTAGGTACTGTGCTGCTGGTTTCAGTTTTTAGCTACTGTTTTGTTGATTTTAGCTTCATTGGTTTTGCTTGATTTAGCTATTACTTAGCTTGTTTTGCTAAATTTGGCCTTTAAGTAAAGTACTGTTTTGTTTCTTTCAGCTGTTAGCTACTATTTTTCATTTTCTTTAGCTTTTAACTGCAATTCTGCTAGTTTTAACCTTTAGCTACATTTTGCCAGTTTTAGCTTTTAGGTACTATTATGCAAATTATAGCTTTATGGTTTGCCTATAGCTATTACTGAAGAGTATACTCATTTTAGTTTCCGTTTTGTTAAATAAATTTTAGCTTTTAAGTTATTGTTTTGTTGAATTTAGCTTTAAGATGCTATATTGCTCATTTTAGCTTCTAACTAGTTTTGTCAATTTAAACTTTTAGCAACGTTTGCTAGTTTTAATCTTCAGGTAGCCTACTGGTTTGCTAAATTGAGCTTTTAGCTATGGTTTTGTAAAATTTAGTATTAAGTATTTAGTATTAAGCAACTGTTTTTGCTAATCTTATGCTCTGCTCGACTTCACTTAATCAGTACCAGCTGCTTCAACACATTTCTGCAGTCACTCAGCTCATAAGAGAACGCTCAACTTTCTAGTTTAAATGTTGACATTCTGCAAAACGTTCAGCAGTTATAAAGTGAAAATGTTCAGGTTAATGTGTGATTGACATAAAAAATAACAATTCTGGTACCTTCGATCATTAAAAAAATCTGATCTGATCTCTGTAAACTCCCACTTCATGCTTTGCTCTGCACGAGAAGTGGGTCAGTCGCACATAATTCCGCCCAGCCGACGCACAGCTGTCGCTATGGCGTCGACAAGACAATAGTCTGAACTAAACACGAGTGATATGAAACACACAGACACATTTCGCCTTCACTAGTCAGAGCACATACAGAGATGTCGTAGTGCACGTGGCATTTTCTCTATGAAACGGCCTTTTTCTTATTTCCTGTCTTTTCGACAGAAAAACGTTGCTGCTCCTCGCGCACATGTCTGGTCTGAACCGGTTCGCAGGATGCGCGGTCTCGTGCGCATTACACACTTTTGCAGGGATTCTCAGAGCTATCCGCGCGCCCGCGTCAGGCCGGACCTTCCGGCTCTCCGTCTCGCGCTCCCATTGGTTGGAGCGGCAGGGCCTCGCCCACAGTGTCCGCGTGCTGTTTGGACAGCTAGGCTATCTTCGGGTTGTCATTGGCCGACGCCCCTGGAAACCTTTGTTTTGGGGCAGACCCTGTGCGCGGCACACGAGCGCGCGAAGGAGCGGAGTTGTAAACCAAGCGTGTGCACTTTTCAGCACCAATACCTCGTGGATAGCGGCCAAACGAGGCAGAGAGGTGAGGAGAGTTTCGTCTGCTAGCTTACTTTTTTGTGATAAACCGACAACTTAGCCGTTTGTGACTTCGCACGACCGGCGCGCGCAGGAGGAGACCTCGGCAGCAGCTCCGAGTTGCCGAGCGGAAACGCCGAGCCGAGGGTCTTCAGCTTTGTTTGTCCCCGCGGCTAAAAGAGCCGCCTCTCGGTTTTTTTTTTGTTTTTTTTTTGTGGGCAAAACGCCGTCGTGTTCCTCGCCAGTGTTGAATTTTCTGTCGGGGTTCAACAAACCGCTCCACGACAAGACTAAATGGCCGAATTCGAGGAGAACCAAAGGTGATATAAGTTTTTTTTTTAACCTGAGCCTGGTTCGGTCCAGACAGCGGCCTTTTTTTTTTTCAGCCTCACATCACAGCGTGTTCATCCCGCTTCCATTGTGAGAGCTTCTCTAAGAAGCCCGCGCTAAGGCACCGACCGCGCACACCTGCCGCCTTTTCAGCCGATTTTCACCTATTTTCCTGAATTTACACATTGCAAAATGTGCTCTCGGGTTTGGTTCGTGACGGACCGGCGCATCAGCCAGGAGTACCCCCAGGTCCAGATCCTCCGGGCGCTGAAGGAGCGCTGCGCCGACGAGGACGTTGAATTCCGCTACCTCCTCATGGATCAGATCGTGCTGACGATCACACAAGGCCAGTTAGGCAAGTACCATCCATTCATCTCATCTGTGAGGGTGAACCTTTGCATAAATTCTCCACTGATTAATGTTCTGCAGCTTTAAAGATATCGTGACACTGTTGCCAGGTCTTCCTTCTAGCGAGGAAGCAGAACAGTGACCGCCTAACCTACTTTTTTTTTTAGCCGGGCTGCCTCCTGACTGAGGGAGGCGATGACGCCTGATTTAATTTCGCTGAACACGCTGCATTTCATCCACAAAGCAGCAGGGTATCTGAATTTGATCATTTACAGGGGGGAGGGCATTTATATGCAAATTCCAACTGATGCCGTAAGATCTGCACTGCGCAGTGTTATCACACACCTTGTGTTCAAACAACCCTTGTAGATCAGGGTTTTAAAGTAAAAACACATTCTCAGTGTCTGCAGCTGATCCAGAGTTCAGAACATTTCACAGTAACAAGAAGCCTTGATGGAAGTGATGGTGACAAGAGCATCTCTCCACACACAGGCACCCTTGGAATTTGTAAAGGCTGTGTGAGATGGGCCAGTGTCACCAGAAGGGGAGAGAGGTGTGACAGTCTAAATTAACACACAAATGGTGTATGCAGGCTGTCATTAGAGGTGGAAGATGGGAGGCGAGCAAAAGCATGTCTGGGCAACCACTGTTACCTTCAGGCTAGGAGATCTCGCTTTCTGTAGACATTTACAGTTAACGGGAGGTTTCACGCGCTGATTAATGGTACGAGAAAGTCGTGTGCATTTCTCTGATTTTGGCTATTTGGATTCAACAGCTGTTCGTTATCAAAATGACTATTGTCAAGATTACAATGAAATCAGCAGACATTTCGATGATGCACTACAGTGGAGTAATAATAGAAAAAAGAAGACGCCAGATGCTGTGCAGATATGTCAAGAGAAAAAAGGCGGCAACTAAGTTTAAATCACAATTGACAGAAGAATACAGATGTTCAAAATGCAGCTGATTAGCAGCATTAAAACAAGAATTAACATATGGTTCAAGTAAGTAAGTAGACTGATAACTATATATATGTGGCTTAGTGAAAGAATCATGACCAAGACTCTTAGCAGGACCTGTAATCCATCCTATCTTTAAATCTGCTCACACATCTTCTGGGCCTTGTTGTGACATCACAGATTACATGTGGTGGACACTCAGGCCTTGTGATCACAGTTTTCAGGATGTGTTTTAGCTCATTTAACATATTCACAGCGTATTTTCTCCCAGATTAGTAGAACTGGCACAGGAAAAATAATTCCGCAACACAAAATCCAAATGGAAGAGTCACCAAATTACATCATCATCATTAAGTAGCAAATGCATTTATTTTGACATGCTTGGTTAATGATTAGAATCATTGTTTATATGTGTGAGAGATATAGATTAAATTTATTGACCATCGGTGAGTACTTTACAACTGTAAGAACATCTATACAATTTAAAATGATGTTTCGTTCAAAAAATATTACACAGGCTGAGCTCTCTTTAGTAAAGATCAATAAGATAAACATCAGTGAAGTACCCAACATTCAGTTAAAACAACTGATGCTTGCAAAAGATGGCTAAAGCCAGCAGAAGCATTTCACACCCCATGACTGGATAAATTTAAACTGATACAGGACATGAATGGATGTCACATTCCTTTGTGATCCCAGTACATACCAAGCGGTGCACTGTTACCCCATTGATGATAAATGCAACACTTCTGTGTCAGTGAACATGGAGTATTATGGTGGTTTCAGTAAGCTTGTTTACCAACTAATTATGTATCTGCGTAAATAGTTGCCTGATTATGATTATTAGTCATTTATATTTACCCTTGGAAAAAGTACAATTTGTATTTTATTGCTACTTCATCCAGAAAGGGAAAAACATTGCAGAAAAGACATATGTTTGCATAAATCCACACAAAGTTGTGTACTTTTGCGTCACTGCAGGTTTTGTGTCTAATGACATCAGTAAGGCAACATTGACTGTCAGAGCACTGTACCTCCTACAAACAGAAGAACTGTGGGTGTGAGCAGCTGGTATAACTGCATTTCCATATAAAATCAGATAGGAGTATATTGAATGTTTGGCAATTCCTTTGTATTTGGTTATACTGTAGTTTAAATAAGCCCTGACATAATCAAATTGACATTACCAGCCTCAACCAGAAAAAGCTTTTTGTGGTTGTTACTTCATAAACAGTCTCTGTTAGGTAATAGTACGTATTTTGATTACTGTAATTTCTAGACTATTGAGCGTACCTGAATATAAGTCACACAAACTAAATTTAAAAATATATATTTTTTGTACATACTGTATAAAGGCCACATTTGTGTATAAGCTGTGGATGTCAACGTTATAACATGAGATATTTACACAGACAGATGTTACACAGTTTTTTTAAACGTTTAATTAAATACGTACCGGTAACTTGTACAAATACGTACAAGTTAAAAATAATAATACAATAGTCTACCAGGAAAAGTTGTGGAACACTATCTTTCATCTTCCTCCTGTGCACTAAAACCACTAAAGTCATCTTCTTCAGTGTCAGAATTGGACAGCCTCAGAAAATCTTCACACACTTCCTCGGTCTCTCTTTCGTTGTCACGCTCAACGTCACTTGTGTCTCGAGGCAAATTCGCAATTTGATTTGCGATTCACATTTATTTCAAGTGTCTGTTTCGTCGTGCTTCAATGAGGGCGGGACACTCCCACAGGGAGTGGGATGTTGTGCCTCCCCTGGGGGCACAATGGGGAGGAGAGAACGGGGAGTGGGGGGAAATGAAGTTACCTCCCCTCCCCAGACCCTCCCGTCCACTGTGACCTGTTTGGTAATTTCATTGGTCAGATTTATTTATTTTTTTACCTTTTATTTATACAGGTACCAGTAGTCTCGTTGAGTCATGAGGACCCACCCTCCAAGAGAGACATGTATTGGGCAGCAATCTGAGCGCCCGGGTGTGACAAGGCTAAAGGTTTTGGCGGCATGAAGCTCGTTAGCCTGTCAAAAGTATCCATAAATTAGCCGCAGCATTATATACCAGTAAGCTGCGATGTTCTAAGTGTGTGGAAAAAAGTAGTGGCTTATTGTCCGGAAATTTTGGTACATTAAAAGTTCTTTCCCATACGAATCAAGTGTAATGAACTGTGTTTGGAAAGTGCTAAAACCTTCAGACACAAAATATTCCCAGCATTTTATTGGAATCAAATTTATTCTATAGAAATATTCATTGTATTAGGGATGGGAGACACTGTGCCAATCACTCTACCATTTTACATGCTTTTTTTTTTTTTTTTTTCATGCAGATAATTGACTACCGGTAGTTTTTTTTTTTTGTAGTCACATTGCATTGTTTATTATAGTTGAACATAGCAATTTCACAAGCTCACTATGAAATCACATATCCATCTTTGAACATTAGTGTTGTGTGATCCAAGAGTTTATTTTATAAAACCCTACAGCTTTACCTAATTAAACTCCCATCAGTTATATTTTAATATTGAGTGTCATTATTTCAGAGTGACATTGATAATCTTTTGTGAAATATAGCACACAGTATTATTAATATACTTTCTGTCTCTTAGTCAAACACATAAAATAATGTCTGTAAATTATTCAGCGTGGTGAGTGCTACGAGAGATTTCTTCAGTGGCATCTTGCTTCTCTGGAATTTTATTTACATGACTTTCAGTTTTGTGTTTGTCTGATATCTTCATCATCTTGTGTTTTCACATCCTCAGTTTAGGTAGCTACTAATTAAATGGTTCTACAATTTATTTTATGGTTTGATGTGCAAGTAAACAGAGAGGCAAAAAGATAACTTAAAGTAGTGTTAGCTCAAACCTCAAATAAACCTGCTGCTCCAGAAAGCAACTGTGTCTGCATTCAGGGTCAGCTGGACTGACCAGCCAACCACACTGACAAAACGTTTGCCTGTTTGTGACGTTTTTGAGGTATGCAAAGAATGCTGGCTATTCTTTCAAGCTCTGTCAGGCAGAATAAAAATAGGATACAGAACAGTAAATACCAATATAATACATAACTTGTAATACCAATATTACACTTATAATAATCAAACCAACAATTTTTGGAAAAATAAAAGCCCTATAAATTTTATTTATAACCGATCCTACCTGGACTAAGGTTAGCGGTTCTCTCACAAAGGGACACTATGTTGAGGCAGCCATTCTCCTGATTTGTTGGGATCTCTGAGCATTTCCTATGGTGGTCACATGATAGACAGTGTAGAGAGCACAGAATAATGGAGCTGATTCATCCTACTTCCTCTTGTACATCTCTGTTTGGTCCCCCTGTAGACAGAGGCAAGCACTGTGACTACTGTCTGTCAAAAACCATGAGACCATGTCCCCTGACACATCCCACTGTAACACCACTCTCTGTGGCTCCACAATTAGCAGTGTGTGAGAGTGCTGAATAGGGTTGGAAAGGCAAATGAGTCCTCTGGCTTCTTTGGCAAAATTGTGAAGTGGAGAAAATAATCAAAAGGGTCGGGTGGGGATATTGTCATGGCTTTATACGGTACTCTTCTATTTTAATGCATCACATGCTCTACCCCCTCCCTGTCCTCTATGGTTGCCTTGAGACATTCTTGACCTTTTGGTGCATTTTGCTGTTTTCTTGTCCTTCTCGTGCCTATCTGTTCACAGGTCTGAGAACACAAACTGATGCATCTGAAAGAGTAGTAGCTCTCTGCTGTCACGTGTTCAGCAGTCAACACGATTCTCCTGACTACTGATCATCTCCGCCCAGTTTATCTCTTTTGGGTTAGACAGGCTCTAAGATGGCTGAAAATTACATCCTGGTCTATGTAAAATGTTGGGCCAGTGAAGAATGTGTTTTCATCCCTCATTTCTGTACAAAGAGTACACAAAGACACACAGGTGCACACAAGGGTTGTTGTTGTGTTTTTTTTGCGACTCATCGCTCAATCTGTTCATCCTCATGAGCTGTTACGGTTTATCCCAGGCTCAAAAATCTTACAGACAGGCTTTGTCTCCTCTTCCCATTCATAGTAATAAAGTACCATCAGTTATCAGTAAGATACTGCCCATTTTTGGCCCATCCCTGGTGATTAAGCCATCTGTGCACCAACCAAACCAATAAGTTTATCTGATTCAGTTCTGCAAAATCAGATTGATCATCATAACCAAACAAAGGCTTAATTAAAAAAATAAAATAACGTGTAGATTTTTTAAAAATTAGTTGTGTTTTATATTACACTAGTAATTTTTCTCTTCATTATACACCATTGTTTTCCATGGCCAAGCTTGTATACAAACTGGCCTGAATCAGAATTAGTAACTTATTCAGATGTTCAGTTAGCCTTTTGTTCCTTAGCCCCTCATTTGCATAAGAAAAGCTGAGTCTGGCTGAGACATTGGAAGCCAAGGTCAGTTTGACTTTCTTTAAAGCAAAGCTCCATGAATGCCAGATCCTAGAAACAGATAGCATCAACTTTGCATTGTGATTCCATCTGAAATGATTGGCCTTGTGTGTTCAGACATTCAAGAAATCCTTTTTGTTGCTGCTGTGTGCACAACATGGGGGGAGACTGCTGTCCTCAAGTGTGTTTAAATACAAGAATAGCACACTTGAGATTTCAGAAATCTCTCCCAGGCTTGCTGCCCTATAATTTGACAAAATAGTCTGATAGAAAAGATGTTCATAATGTAGGACTGTAGAGAAGCACAGTAAGAGGAGCTGAATATTATAAGATTTGAATCAACAGCTGGCTGCCTCTGCTTACTATTATAACCAGCCAATTCCCAGGACTGTGACGATTCAGTGTGTTCATATTTGTTGTAGGAGGAGTAAATTGTTGTAAACAATGGTTGGCCGAGCATATTTTAAAATAAATCAATCAAATAGAGAAGATAAGCCCACAACTGGCTAATGAGAGACACAAGAACAGAAAGTTCTTTTTAAGCTGATTTCACATTTGCTGAACATCAAAACAATTTGGTTCATACTTTGTTCACAGTGAAGCATTTCATAGCAAGAGGATTTCTGCCAGAGGTATGTTTTCACTGATAAAAATACATGAGGAATGGCATGCATTTAGACATAGCTCTGGAAAACAAACAAGATTAGACTTTACGCAAATTGTATGATGTAGAAATCAATATGTGTTTTGATGAGGCTCTAAAATGATGAGCTTCATGATGATATAAGCACATGTACCTAACCAGGTAAGCAGAACAGGAAAAGAAGGATCAGCAGTTATCAGCACTGTCTTGGTTACTTGCAGCAAATAATGTAAATGATTTGCTGACACAGAAATTTTACTCCAGGGCTGGGTGAAGAATCTGCATAAAAAATAATGTTGAGGTTCTCAAAGTGTGTTTCTTACTCATTTACACGCACTACTGCACCTTCTGTTGTTTGTTTTTATTCCACACATGCCAGAGTTTTTTTTTTTCTCTCTTTTGTACACCAATGAACACAAAGGTGACAGGGTTTGAAGGGTGTCTTTCTGACAAATACTTTTTAGGCTCTTAACACAAGACAGGAGCCAAGACTGATGGAGTCAGCCATGACCTGCACAGATGTGAGCTTTCACAAATGACACGAGCCTCGCATAACCAAAAGAGGCACGGACCAAAACAGCTGTGTTGAGGTGGAGTGCAGCCCATTAAATGTGTGGCGGACATCTCCCTTGTATTGATTTCAAAACATGATGAATTAACTAACTTGACTTAATTAGTAAGTTCTCTTTGTAGTTGAGAGATGAACTGAAAACCTAAAAAGCATTCTGCGTGCAGGCCATTTTTTTCTTTTTTAACCAATTTGTGTATTCTCAAACCGAGCAGTTAATTTTTAATACATGCCTTGTCTAATCATCATCCCTTTCTTATCACATCTGACCCTTTAGGTTTACGAGTGGACCAAGAGTTGGTGACGTCTTATCCCCAGGTGGTGGTAGTACGGGTCCCCACACCTTGGGTTCAGTCTGATAGCGACATCACTGTGCTGCGCCACCTGGAGAAGATGGGTTGTCGGCTAATCAACCGGCCCCAGGCCATACTCAACTGTGTCAACAAGTTTTGGACCTTTCAAGAACTAGCCGGTCATGGGGTGCCTCTTCCTGACACCTTCTCTTATGGTAAATCTGCACTTGATGCTTGTGTTTCTGACATTGCTGGTGTGCTTTCCAGTTAGCGTTATCTGAGCAATAGCACCTCTGTCCAGTTAGGGGTTTGAACTCCAAATAAGTCCTCGAGTTGGATGAAATTGGCTACTGACCTGAACTACTCTTAACCCTTTTACTGCATATAGAGCAAAGGAAAGAATGTGAAATGCACAAAAAATGCTGTCCTTCAGAGGACAACAACATCCTACAAGCAGCTGTACACACCCACTCAGAAATATCTAAATTCCCCTTCTTTGTGAAACCTTGTATGTGTGTAACCTTATTGTTGTTGAGTTTATCTCCTGTACTCATTTTTTTAAGACCAGCCAAAGACTGGCGACCAACAGCACACATTTTTTTGTAAAAAAAAAAAAAAATCACAGTACTGTGGTATTCATGAGAGCAGAAAAAGAAGGATACAGACAGAAAGGAGGGAAAACAGAAAGAATGATGAGGCTGTGGTTTGGCCTACATTCCATGTGTGTCTGTGCACAGTAGGCCAGGCCATGCATACAGAGCAGCTGGACGGCTTATGTAACAACCACCTCCCACCACCACCGCAGACACACATGCCCCTTTGTGATTTTTCAAAATAAAACTCAATAGCCGCGTTGCTTCTGCCACAGCAGATTACGATGTGACTGTAACCACATTTGATGGCAACTATCTCCTCTTTTCTACGTCCTTTTCTCCTCTCAGTGCAAACACATGATGTGGTTCATTAGAAAAGGAACAAAAAGGCGGAGCCACCATGATCATTTGCATCTGTTCCTTTGACTCAAGGCCAGAATGGAAATATGAAGACCTTGCATCAGTACTGAAAGCAGAGCATAGAAAATGTGAAAATACATTTTAGGGCATATTTTTACAACACATTTAATTAATCTTTTCTCAAGCCAAGGCAGAGGAAGTTTTTGCACATCTGTTACAGCAAGCAGTCATCGAGAGTCGTTGTCAGAAATAGTCTGCTGCTTCACATTAAGTTCATCGGTCTGTGGCTCCTGTTCTTATGAATATAAGCTAAGGACAACACTCCTACAGCCTTCCTGTTTTGAGGCGCTCCTGTTTCCATAGCAACATGCCATGTTCCTTTGCTTTGCCTTGCCAGGCTGGCTATAATAAGTGAACCAGGCTGTGAAAACAAGAGCAGCTTTTAATGCACTTTAATGTATGATGTGTGAAGGTGTGTGTGATGTAAATGTTTTATTTTGTATTTTTTAGGGGGGCATGACAACTTCCGTAAGATGATCGATGAGGCAGAGCCTCTGGGTTACCCGGTGGTGGTAAAGAATGCACGTGGCCACAGAGGTACGGCTTTCACCCTATTACTTCCTGTCATTCATTCAGTTCACTGTGCAACACCTCAAAATATCGACTCAACTGGGAATTCAGCCCACCCTTGCATCCAATTCACTGACAGTGTTAAATGATTACCAATGTAGTGCTATTACAAACACTAAACAGAAGCTCATAAAGCTCAGTTAATCATTTCAATTTAAGGTTTTCAAACAGACCCGGGTTTCCTCGTCTTGTCTAAATGTACATAGGTTAATGTAGAAGATTGGAGCTTCAGCATTAACGTGGTATCTTCAAGAATTAGCCTGTTAGCTCTTTTGTATTCATAATTGTCAACTTTGGAGTGGCTCTACAATGTTGTGAAGGAATTAAATGGTTTTTGGTGGCCCATGCTTCTGCAGCCATTGTTCAGGAAAAGCAGTCGTTGATCAACAACTTTAACAACATTTTTATGGAGTCTGTTTTCAGTTTTTGTTTGGCTAATCCTTGACGCAGGATGAAGACCAGCTTCATTCAAATATTTGGGGTGTGCTCAAAATGTCATGTTTTATAGGGATTAAAAAGTACAAAAAAGATGCCAAATATAGATTTACTCAATCATTTATTAGGATTGCAGCCATTACCTCTGTTTTTTTGTTTGTTTGTTTTTTTGGTGTGTGTGTGTGTGGGGGGGGGGTATTCCAAGCTTGTATGTATTGCTTTTAAAGTTATACGAAGCCCCATGATGTCCAGCATTATATCTGATCATTTTATTGTTCCATTGCAACATGACACAGAACTATGGTACATGTTTCCATAGTTCAGACAGCTTGACAGAAAGTGGTGCTAAATTATCAGGCATCTTCTATCTTCTGTGGAAGCTGCTCTGAGGACTGTCCTGTTATTTAAGAAATGGCATGGAGCTTACTCATCAGCAACCCTCTGCTTGTCAGCAAAACCACGAGGAAGCTATTTAACCTGAACTTAAATTTAGCCAATGGCGGCTCTTGTCAACATGTTTTTGTGCTAATATAAACAGGTTAATGTGTGATCACAGCCTGAAGACTAGCTCATCTTTTTTTTCTTCTCGTCATCTAGTCTCTCCTTCTCTCTCTTAGGCAAGGCTGTGTTCCTGGCACGGGATAAACCCCACTTGACAGATCTATGTCACCTGATTCGCCATGATACGCCCTACCTGTTTCAGGAGTATGTCAAGGAGTCGCATGGTCGTGACGTACGGGTGGTCATGGTGGGTGGCCGTGTCATTGGCTCCATGCTACGCTGCTCCACTGATGGTCGCATGCAGAGCAACTGCTCCCTGGGTAAGTGGATGCCTGAGGCACAGATCCCACACATTTAGATTTTGAGATTTGACTTTAAGAAAAGACCACTTCATCTGATTTTATGGTAATTTGTGGTTGTGCTCCGTCTGGTTTAGAGTGTGGAGCAGAATCAATGTGTTCAGTCCCCCCCACCCCCCACCCCAAGTCTGCAAGTGTCACATCATTCTAGTTGACCAGACTGATTTTTAGTGTCAGAGCATCAGCAGTTTTGGGTGCAGCTGAGGTTGTAATGCTCTCTGGCATATTTAGGTCATCACTCATCAGAATAATCTGAATTTATGTAACAGCTCATGTTGACACCTCTATTTAGTTTAACGAGAAATGCTTTTTAAAAATTCTATAATAATTTCCTACCTCGGTAATCTAATTTTTGTGATTTCTCTTGAAAGATTCACTGTATTTCTTATTGTGTGGATGAAAATAGGTTGTAGATATTAACCAGCTTCATGTGTTTCTGAATTGTTAGGTGGTGTGGGTATGATGTGCCCCCTCAGTGAGCAGGGCAAGCAGCTGGCGGTCGAAGTGTCCAACATCCTCGGCATGGATGTATGTGGAGTTGACCTCCTGCAGCTAAACGACGGCTCCTTTGTTGTTTGTGAGGCTAATGCCAACGTGGGCTTCATCGCCTTCGACCAGGCATGCGGCATAGATGTAGCGGGGATCGTGGCCGACTTTGCTCTGTCGATGCTCCCCAGCCGCCTCACTCGTAAGATGTCTCTCCTGTCCGTCGTGTCCAGCGCCAGCGAGACCTGCAGCGAGCCCGAAGTGTGCATCGTTCCTTCGGGTGGCGGCTCGCTGCCCGAGGCCGTCTGCAACATGAGCGTAGGCTCCACCTCCAGCGAGAGTGACCCAGAGCTGGCAGAGCCCTCGCAGTCATCACCCCGTCACTCCAATACCCCCATCCTGCCCGATCTCCCCGATGCAGCCTACAACTTCAACACCCTCCTGGCCAATGAGATCAAACTATTGACTGAGTGAGGTTCATGCAAAGTCATGCTCACACAAACACCACAAATGCACGCATACTTATACCTGTAGAAACATTCCTCGCATATCGGTCTGAAACAGTTAAACATAAAATGTTTTGTGCAACACAAGAGCTGAGAGAAACAGAACACACATATTGCGAGAACCACACAAACAAACATCTACGCATGAGCTTTCGCTTTGAGAGAAATAGATCTGAGGCTGCTCCCCTGACTTTTTTTTTTTTTTTTTTTTTTTTTTTTGCGCTTTCCATCTTTAAAAAGAAAAATCCAAGTCCCACTAAGGTGTGGTGTATGTGTAAAATCAGTACGTTTTATCCACTTAACTCAAAAAAGGGATACAACATTTAACATGATCTCTGGAAACTGGCCTTTACTGGTATGGAGGTGTATTTATATCTATGGTGAAAATTCTGTGTTTTATCCTCACAATGCAATTTGTCATAAAGTTTGCGTGCTGTGGTCAAGTTTGATTGGAAGGAAAATGAATTGTTTTGAGATTGAATCTATCCTCATGCTAGGCACAACAATATTTAGTCTGTTCCTCATAACAGTAATGCAACATGTGGACAAACTGGAGACTCGGCAGACAGTAGTCCTATGTTGTCACAAACTCGCGTATTTAAATTCATTCCAACATATTTTAGTTTACATTCTCAGTGTTTGAGCATCAGCAGCTTTAGTTGTCTAACTTAAATTCATGAGATGCCTAGCACTTTAATCAAAATGTTTCCCTTGCTCAGTGACATATTGAGACTGTATGAAAGTTGTGTCATTACCTAAAAACAAAATATACCTCATCACAGCAATGTCTTACTGCCGTTGGACGTCACAAATATTCAGACATACAACACATATCAGCCTAGACCCTTGTGGTTTTTAATAAACACCTCATATAGATGGTGTTTCTTCCCTTAACGTCTAGGACCTAAAAATACAACTGTATTATTTTTTATGTTTCTTAAGATCGTTTTGTTTTGTATATATATTACAGGTAGCAAAATTGGCTTCACAGCATTAGTATCCAGTCAATACAAGTGGAACGGCTACAAAAACTGCCAGTTAACATTTTTATTAAGCTGCTGTGGACAAACTAGGTTGTACAGGTAGGAGAATGTGAAGATGGAAATTTGGTGCTGACAGTTGTGGAAATGGTTAGACGTGATTTTACAGTCTTTTATTTTTTGTAGACTTGGTATTCTCCATAAAAAACAAATAAAATAACAGAAAATATGTTGGCATCTTGTACAAAAAAAGTAAGGCTTTGTAGGTAGAATGGTATTTTTTCCTTATAGGAGGGAAGAAAATCCAAAGCTTTTAGATACAGAGAATTTATTGTTTACTTTTTCTTTGGGATTATGTATAACTTGTGTAATAAACAATTAGCTGCAGTATTGTCCATTCTTTAGAAATAACGTCCACCTTTGATCAAAAGCACAATTATAAACCTGAAATGGCCCACACAGGGATGTTCTTGTCTTTAGGTTTGTAACCCTTTCTGTTGAACACATCTCAGGGAAGCAGCCTGGATCTCAGCCCTGAAATATCCATCTGAGCTCGAGACATGTCATAAACAACAATGAAAAAAGGTTGTCGACTACAGTATGTGCTGTATACCATAGTTAACATGCACTTTTTTCCTTGCTTGTTTCCTAATGTTTCTTGTTTTCTTTTTAATTTGTGGGATTTTCTGGAAGAAAGAAAAATGTGGTTTGTGTGCTCTAAAGTAGTCTCAATAAAGTGAAACTTATGTGAAGCTTCATTTTTATCTCCCTTTGTTGTGGGCCAAATTTCCTGTCTGGAATCTTGGGGTGGGGGGGGGGGTCTGCTGGAGGGTCCCGGTTCAACATTCGTCAGCCAACAGTAAAGGGCAGCTTTTATTTGAACACAGTTTACACTACAACTGTGCTATTGTCTGGTATCTACTTCATCAGAAATATTGAACAAACTGTGAAATCTCTAAATGGATGGTGATTTTGGCCATCAAGTTGCAGCTTGAACGCTTAATTGGTTAAACTAGCTCCAGTAGTTGTCCCCGTCTAGTCTTTGACTTCATGTTTACGTAACAACACATCTTTCATAAACATTCTCACAGTCCCTGTTATTTGAGTATTTATACGCGCTGACAGAACACACCTTGTCGACAGTAATTCTGGTTGATTTCCTTGGGAGGCATTGATGACATGAGCAAGGTTATGGTTTCTGTTGAGTCCTATTGTGTCTTTAAAGATCAGCTGTCGCAGTGAAGTTGATTGCTACTGAGAGGAACATGTTTTATGAATAAAATATGATTCATTTACTGGCATGAGTGGTATCAGCGAGCCTGAAACAAACTTGTGGATAATTCTTGATGAGACATCGTGTTCAAGCACGTGCAAATTTTAATTACCATTCTGCTGCTATTGAATATTTGGCCATAAAACTAAAAGGGAATTAGCGATGATCCAAGTGTTTCCATGTTTTGCTGACTGTCAATGCAAAGAAAAAGTACAATAACGCCAAAAATACACTTTGTTGTATAATTCAGTATACTTAACACTAGTAGTAGATTTTTTTAAAATAGCTGTTTTGACAAATAATTGTATATATATATAAAGATTTCACAGCAATCACCAGGTGAATCTAATATATGTTCTAAAACAAGCCTGTGCTTTGCTAAAAGATTGCTATGTACTTTTATTTGCAGGAGAATGATGTAATGATTTTGCTTGTGTGACAAACTGCAGCTCTCGGCTGATGACTTTAGAAAATGTGTCTGAATGTGCTGAAGAACAGATTCTGGACTGTTGGATGCAAAATGTTTCTGTATAAAGGTTTTCAGAAAATGTCCTCAGCCATATTTTCTGTTTTTCTCTGTCCGACAAAGTGAAAACTGAATTCCAAATTGTTATTCACAAATGTTCAAAATGATGTAAATATACATCCCTCTTTTTTTTAGCTTAAAATAAAAAGTCATTATTCCAACTAATGAAACTGCCAAGTCCTTGTTTTATATTTTTAATGTGATGTTCATTAAAAAAAGTGTCATTGCAAAATATATATATATTAAAAAAATAAAATAAAAAAAGTTAAAAACAAAACAACTGCACTTTATTTGTAACTGCAGATGTTTCACTTCTCATTCAAGGAGCTTTCTCAGTTCAAAGAAACGAGTGTGGGATTCAAGTTATAAAGCAGAGGTGTTCTGTAAGCTTGCATAATGCAGATTGACACATGCAGATTGACCTCTCACTCCACAATAGAGGATCGTTAGGGTCTTTGTTAGTCCCACCCACAGAGGGGCCACACACTTGCAACTCACCCACTTTCAACCATGTAACCAGAGTGACCCCTCTGTGGGTGGGACTAACAAAGACCCTAACGATCCTGAAGAGGGAGCGGTCAATAAGCTGAACACCTCTGCTTTGTAACTTGAATCCCACACTCCTTGTTTCTTTGAAGTGAGAAAGCTCCTCGGATGAGAAGTGAAATGTCTTCAGTTACAAATAAAGTCCAGTTGTTTTGTTTTTAACATTTTGTTTGTTTTGTTTTTTTATTTACCATGTCCTGGATGGATGACTGAGGATCTTCATCAGCACATTGCAAAATATAACTACATGTTTATTACATGAAATCTAAATGTTTTGTCAGCTAATCTATTCACATGGGTGAATCATTTTGAGTGCTTTTATTTAGCAGATAGAGCAGATCTTCAAGCTAAAGCAAAGCTAAAGGTGAGTGTGTTGACTAGTCAGAACCGGGCTGTTGATCAGTCTCGGGCTGCACCAGCTGCAGCAGGCTCCGGATTGATCCTGTCAGGTCATGATTTGGTATCAGCTGGCTGGTCTGCAGGGCTGTGCGGCCAAATCCCAGCGCCTGGCACAGAAACAAGCACAGCTGTCAGACTCTCAGGAGAATAAAAGCTGATTTTTGTAATGATGTCACAGAAATTAGACCGCACCCCCAATGGCTTCATTTAATTCACTCTACCCACTGACATCTTGAAATATTGCACTGTTGTCCAACAAAGTAATTAAAATAAAATATGAACATAAAAAAAAGCTATTTGATTGTAGGGTTACAAAACATACAGTCTGTTCAGAAAGATTATGAACAAATCAAAGAGTTTTGAGTCAGCTAGGCAAAAAATAATAATAACTACTAATAACTAAATGGTTAATTTACTTATGAAAACCACTGCTCTTCAAAACTACATCATGTCTGCAGTTTGGTAAAAATCACCCAGGCCCCAATCAGGTACTGTACCAACTTTCTGAGTTGCTCTTTAAGGGCCAGGATTAACATGAAAATAATTTCTGAATTCTGTAAATTGGGATTGAAAATGCCAAAATATCAGTTTGTGAATTACAGCAAATGTCAGCTGCAAAACAACGAGGCCTGTAAAAAGGGCTGAAGTTGTTTTTTTACAGTTACGTCAATGACCAGACTTTGAGCCAACAGGATTGTTGTAGAACGTTGGCGCAAGCTGCACACTAAAGAATCCCCATCAATATTTCAGAGACAAAGCTGTTTTTAGTTGTAGTCTGAACTGGACAAGAGCTTTGCATCAGCTGTTGTTTTTACTGTCTCTCAAAGATACCAGTATATAATGTTGGATTGTTTTCTTGAATCGTGAAGTATTAATTTTCTTTGGTTCCATTTTTAAGATTCTTCTAATAATGCAAAAAATATAAAATTTTTAAAAGGCTTTCCACAAATGAAATAGTTTGCCCTCTTTAGCAGCTCAGTATGTTTGGTGTAGCTGTTGGTAAAAAAAAAAAAAAAGTCCTACTGTAATTAACAAAGCCCTAACGACCCACCACATTACAAAACAGAGATAAAAAATATCTTTAGAAATAGTTTAGACAGCCCTGTTTGTGTCGTGCTCATCCCTAAGATTGCCTACTTTGATGTAAGGACTCCGACAGGGTGAGCCTGTTTGGTGTTCGTATGCCCTGAGAGCGTGATGCATTTCCAATACCGCTTTTACCTTCTTTTGCACACTCCTTTAGGAGCTCAATGATTCAAATATCGTGGGGCTGAGATACAGTCTCCACTCACAAAGCTATGCAGATCCCGGAAACCAAGGTGGAATCAGAGTGTCGCGACAGTCCAATAAACCTCCACTAATTCCCACCTTAAGCTCACAGCGTCACCAATTAGAGCTAATCCAATCTTGAGATAGCGCTGGAGGGAAATGGAAAACTGTGTCACCGTGTCAGAGCTAACATCAGGTGACTTACCTTGAGGGAGTCTCCGCTGAGGAACCACAGCATGGCCAGGCTGTGGGCCAGCAGTGCAATCTGAGCAGAGTTTTTCATGAGGTGATTTTGTTCAAACGCTAACATGGCTCTAAGCATCTCATCCACTTCAACTCGCTGGGGTGTGGCAACTTGAGAGAAGAGAGACCAGCAAAGATATCTTACACAAGACCACATACACAAAACAGAGCAGTAAAAACATTCTGCATGCGAGTCACAGCAATGTGTCATAGATATGTTGTTGTTTGTTTATATTTATAGCTTGCATAACCATTTCTTCCACCTAATTTTTGTTAGTAAACACATGTAGCCCGGGAATTCACATCCCAGCTAACAGGCTTTGCATCAGATGTAGGGCAGCAGCTGTGATACGGGCAAGTAGTGCGGATGCTGCTCAGCCACAGTTGTGTCAGCAGTGGTCTCTAGACAGCTCTAAGCAGTAAATCTGGGGTTTAGCTTTTAGGATTGCTCAGCAAGACAGATTAGCTAAATATAGCAATGTTGACCCTATGTTTTTTTTTAAGTTTGTCTCAGTCTCATTCATTAGTTATTTTGTGTGTCAATGGACTCCTGGCAGGAGTTAAGAACATGGAGCATCATGAATGGCCTTTTCTGTTACAGCATTGTGTGCAAAAGACCTAAATAAGCTCAGAGAATTGTATTGATAGTGAATGTGTACGATTTAACGTGACGCACCATAAGAGGAGCATGATGACTTCACAGGACTTTGGATGTTTTGCATGCAGTTCTCGAGGAGTTTGGTCAGACGGCAGTGCCATGCATGTACTACCTGCAATATGACCAAAGCAAACACATAAAAATACCACATGTCTGCACATTAATAGAAGGATAAACATTATCTGGTACGCTTTTATTTGGAGACTCACCTGGGGTATATTTGAATGTTTTAATAGTTTAAAAACAATCTTGTTTTATGATGTATTTTGTGAAAATAGGCCCACCTCCGAGTATAAAGACTGAGCGATGAGAGTCTTCCCCTGTTTAACAAACACATCAGCCAAGAGAAAGAAGCCGCGACAGGTGATTGTGCTATCCAGGCCATACTCCTCAGTGGCAAAGTATATCTGCAAAAATCACAGAAATAAGCTTTTTTTTAACAAGGTTTTTGTATACCATATAAGAAATTACAGTAACTATGAAATTTGACTAAAATGCCTTATGAGTCAGAACTGAATTAAGTGAAATGTATTCTCAATAACAAAGAGAAAAATGTTTTAATATGCTAAAATTACATGCTGCAAAATAGAATCTTAGAAAAGCAACACAAAAGTGACGGGCGGCACACTAGATAAAAAAGCACAAGCGTGTTTTGAAGTTAGCTGAACAGCAGTAAAAGTTACAAGAATGGCCCATAAGCATGCGATTTTTCCATTTGGATCACACATTTTTGATTATTAAAAAAAAAAAGGAAAAAAAAACCCAACATGGAGAATTACATGAAGAAATGAAACTTTCACGGAAGTGCAATAACTGTATGGTCAACTTTACAGTCAGGAATAAACTAGTCAACTTTCTGAGTATTATTTTTCAACAAATACTTCAAGGAAGTGAAACAAAACCGGTTATAGATTCAATTTTGTGGCTCTTCCTGCTCCTTATTGCATCAATACAGATATAAAACTGTTGCACAAGATCATATGCTTTAGTTATCCCTAATAAAAACGACACATACGTCATTTGCAAAGTGAAACAGAGCTGTTTCCAGGTTTCCAATGGTTGCGTGGAAGCGGCCCATGCTTCTGTGCAGCCTGTGGTGAACTGAATGACCACACTCTGGACTCTTCAACACCTCCCACTCAGCCTGTGATAGCAACTCCTTTACAAGGGCAAGATTACCCAAGCCTGACGATGAACGAGAAAGCACAAAACCACAAACATTCAAGCATAAAACAGTAAATAAAAGGAGAGGAATGGGTGCAGTTTTGCGCTCTTCTCTTACCCATGTTGGCCTCAGCCAACAGCAAGAAGGCAGGGACGAGCTGAACCGAATGGTGGCCGTGGACCTCGATGGAGCAGCGCAGGCAGAACTGGGCGGCGGGCAGCATCTCTTGATGTTTACCCTCAGAAAGTTTGCTCTCAGCAACCAACCTGCAAATCTCAATTAGCTCTGCCTGAAAAAGGAAACAAGTTCACATAAGTTCCAAAGTTCATGCTCAATACTCCAGGTATAAAACCCAACAATAGTCAGTCAAGTCATCTAGATGGTTCCTTTTTTTGCTGAGACATGTTGTCCTTCATCCAAAGGACTTGTTCAATCTGAGGAGCCACCAAGAAAAACTATGAAAACATTCATAAGTTCCCAAGAGAAAAGGACAATTCTGTTAGGTCTCATTAACAATGGTTTCACTCATGTTTTTCTTATAAAACTCTGAAGAGATTCTAAAAGCGCTCTGTAAGCAGTCTGATGGCAACATGAAGAAAAACTCCTGCAGGAAGTTTTTCATTTGGAACTCCAAACATCAGCTACAGCTGTTGGCCAATGGATTGTATTAAAAAAAAAAAAAAAAAAAAAAAAAGATGCTGCTGATGCAACTTTTGTTTCTTTTGGAGCGCATTGTCAAATTACTGACCACTCCGAGTCTGGATTTGGCCTCTTAAGCTTGAAATGAGCAAAACAAAACTGAAATCTTAAGAACTGCATAATTTGAAACCCAATGATGTGTTTAAAAGGCAGACAAAAAGAAAGGTAAACTGTCTGTGGAACAAGGCTACTTTTAACAAAATTCAGTCAGTTCATCTGGATGGATTCTTTTTTTTTTTTTATTAAGACATTTCGTCCTTGATCCAAAGGACTTCATCAGCCCGGGGAGCCACAACAAACTTAGTCCCACAAGCAGCACACTCACATAGTTGACCAACCAGTTTTGCTGGTGATAAAATGGTTTCTGGGGCCTGTCCTCTCCTCCGTCGACTCCTCTGAGGCAGCCATAGCCAAAATGATTCAAAACATCAAAGTTCATGCTCAATAATCCAGGTAACAAGCAAAATGTGCCACTTGTGAGACTAAGTTTGTTGTGGTTCCTTGGACTTATGAAGTCCTTTGGATGAAGGATGAAACGTCTCAACAACAAAAAAGTAACTGTCCAAATGACCTGACTGAATATTGTTAGATTTTTTATTTTTACCTGGATTATTGAGCTTGAACTTTGATGAGGCTACTTTTAGTTTTTGGGGGGGGGGGGGGGGGGTGTCTTGTTTTGTTTTTTGCATTTATCTTGAAATATATGTAATAATTTAACTCAAAGGTATGAAGAAGCAGGGTTGCTTTTTTGACAGTTTGTCTCAAAGTGTATTTGTTTTGTTTTTACATGTGACTTCAATACATTAAATTAACTTTCACCTTTTTTATTTGGTTTTCCTCGCAACTGCCTTGCTGGAGGGCTGTCGGAGTACGGATGGGAACAAGAAACTGACAAATTCTTTCATGGATCCCTTCCCAGTCATCCTGCTGGTGCTCTGCACAGCTACGGAAATAAAACACAATATATATATATATATATTTGTCTGAAAGAAGTCTTTAAATACAGGAATCATGATGGCTCTATGTCAGCACTTTCCCTGATGTTGTCACTTACTGTCTTACGTAGTAAACTGAAAAATTAAATACGTAAAACCACAAGATGGCATAGAAGTCTGATACGATGTACCATTAACAGTAAAAATCTGCCCTGGTTTGAATTTTTCTGATATTTCAAATGCAAAGTCAGTTTGGAAGATAGTATCTGAGTTCACAAAGGACAAACAAAATTGTATAGTAACATAAGTGGTCTGTAATTTTGTTCATCTGGCTCCCTTCATCTTCATCTGTGGAAACCATCTTGGCTTTCCATGCATATTTATTTATTTATTTTTTTTACTTTGGAGGATGTTTGTTTTTTTCTTTGCACATCTTTTTGAACTTCAGAAATAGGCCTTGAGCAGACAGAAGTCCGGTCATGTCACATCACCAGTAGCCCTGACACAAGAAAGCTAGTAGTGATTTGATGGCCTAGTTAACAATATCACCTCCAATAATACCACTTATTGTAGCTATTTCCAGAAAATACAGAAATGTTTTTAATTTAGCACCTTCAATTCTAAAGAAAGCTTGTTTCTACTCCTGCGTCTTGTTTTGACACAGATGTAATGAATCCAAATCTGCATTTAATTCTGAACATGTGCTTCTCTTTAATTTGTTCTGAACTCAGTAAGGAAAGCATGCACAGCAAGTGGCTGTGAGCTCCCCTGGATTGACATTAGTGGTTCATCCTTTTCCATAAATCCCCACAGGAAGGGTCACCACATCCTCACTGCTGAGGCTTTTATTTAGCACCACCTTGTGTTCTGTAAACGAGTCAAGAGCCAAATGTAGTGATGGTTTATATTTTTTTAAATGCTGCTATGCTATGCACATTGTATCATCATAAAAGACGCAGGCAACAACTGGAGAACAAAAATAAAATGTCGTGGTAATGTGTTTTCCATCTGGTCCTCTCCCACATGTCCGCACAGTCACATGATGGACTGAGACTTAAGGAAAAGTTAAGATGGCGTACAGTGCCACCTAGTGTTTAAACTCTGAGTTTCACTAAACTCACATATTTTGAGATATTTCATATCTCTGTAATGTGCTAGTAAAACCGACATTTTAGACAGGGCAGCTATACGTTAGCGGTGTGTTGCTAAAGCTTACCAGTAATAAGTAACCCGACACTTAGTGCACTGCAAATGAGCTTCGCTTTCACAAAGTTCACAAAGCTTTTTCTTTCCTTTAGGGAAGGCAAGAGGAGTCACTGCAGAAGCTATCCTCGAAACTTGAGGTGCAGTGTCCATTAACACGAGAAATACTTTTTTTTTCTACGGCGATTAAAGTCCAGGAACGGTATAGCTAATAAAGCTAACAGTGGTCGCTATGGAAACCACGTCAGCGGTTCAAACGGCTGAGATACTTTACGTACTGCGGGAAATAAGGCAACTCTCGTATTTTAATGTCCTTTTCCTGTTTTTTTTATTTTTATTATCTATCTAGTATTTATCATTTGTCTGTCTGTATGTCCATTTATATAGAGATAGATACCTATACATATATCGTTTTCTTTTATCTTCCATACATTGTTGTACATAAACATACAGTATAGTTTTCTCTTTGACGACTGGCCTACATTGGACTGTCACATGCTTGCCAACACATACGCAACAGAGCAAACGTATGGTACTAACGTCAAAGTTTATCTTCAATAATCCAGGTTAAAAAATCCATCAAAGTTAAGTCTGGTTATCTGGTTTATTTGTTTTGTTGAGATGTTTCATCTTTCATCCAAAGGACTTCATCAATCCAAGGAGCCACAAACAGACTCAGTCTCACAAGCAGCACACTCCACAATGGACTAACCAGTTTGCTGAAGATGGTTTCTGGGGCCCACCCTCTCCCCCGTCGACCCCTCTGAGGCAGCCACAGCCAAAGTGGTTCAAAACATCAAAGTTCATGCTCAATAATCCAGGTAGAAAAATCCAACAAAGTTCAGTCAGGTCATCTGGACGGTTTCTTTTTTGTTTGTTGAGACATTTTGTTATTCATCATTAAAAGACCTGAAGCTCTCGACCTTGACCTCTCCAAGTGGCCTTAAGAATCTGTTGGACTCCTGGCAAGGACCAATGCAGACATGTTCCTGTTTTTAGTTTTCTACATTCGCCTTATAATCTAGCTGTTTTTGTTACGTTTTTGCCATCTTATTTGTAAAAAAAAAAAAAAAAAAAATCTGTATGCCTTTTTATAACTGTCTACTGTTGTCGCTGTTGTCCTTTGTTGTCATCATTCTTTGTTGACATCAGGTCTCTCTTGTAAATGAGTCCTCGAGGCTCAATGAGATTTACCTGTCTAAATAAAGGTTAAATGAAATCCAAAAGATGAAGGTATTAACCCTGATGCATGCTCAATAATCCAGGTAGAAAAATCTAAAAAAGTTAAACTTACATGAAGGTATTAACCACTCTGCAACTTCCAATTTGTAACTACAGTTCTGCTACTTTTAGCTAAAATTTTGGTACTTTTGGCTAGCCTATAGTTTTTTTTTTTGCCTTCTTTAGGTAGCTTTTGGCTACTTTTAGCTTCAAGCTACTGTTTTTGGTTTTAGCCAACCTTTTGTTACTTTTACCTTAGATGGCCTTTTGCTACACATTGCATTTTAGCAATAATTTTTGCTACTTTTGATTAAAATAGCAACATACAATATCAGACAAAAAAAATAAATTAAAAAAAGATTATAGCAACAATTGCAAAAAGTGTGATGAAGACATTGAAAATAGCAAAGAATCTTAATTTTGTCACAAAAATGATGACTCTTAAAATTTTAGTTCATACTTCAGAATAAAACAGAAGCTGAATGTACCAGAAAGTATATCGAACATGAATATAGCAAGAATTTCAAGCTTTTTGTTTTTGTAACTTTTATTTTGAAGTTGCAAATGTACATTCTACACATTTGCTTTTTGTACAAAACTAAAATGTTTCTAATTTGTGTAAATGAAAAATATAAGTCTTTTGAGGACAACAGTATAGGGACATCATCACTAATGAAAGTTATATGCTGCAGCTACATTACTTGTTTTCAATGGTTACATGTGACAACAGCAGAAGATAAAATGTCTTAAGGTTAGGTGATCATCTCAGATTTAAATATCATTATAAATGTTTAAATATTTTCCCCAACACATACTAACAATCACATTCAATGAAGCCTAAGCATGTGCATACATTATAAAAGCTTTGATGCTCTTTTAAAACTTGTGTCTTTGAACAGTGATGTCACTTTAGTCGCTTCGTTGCTGGTGCTGCCGTTGACATTGGTCTTCCTTTGTCTGGTCACTCTTTCTTGCGCAAGTGGATGTATATGATCCCGCTACACAACAAGAGAGGGACACACACCCAGGCCAGGATAAAACAGTAGCCAAAATATCCCGAAAACAGTTTTGGTGTGTCCAGAAGGATTTCCTTATTGTGGAGTGTGTAGATGAGAGCAGCAGATAAGTCTGTCAGACCTTAAAACACACAGAAACAACAACAGAACAGTATGAATCCATCTGAAAAGACTACTTTTAGTTGAAAACTGAGCTGTGAAACGATTGAAAACTTTTGTGTACTCTTAAGATCGGTGACACCTCGAATAAGGAGACTAAGTTTCTCCGTTGTGCCTTTCTCTAAGAGTCTAATTACACAGAAGTATTTACCTGCAAAGACTTGACACAGTCCAGTGAAGTAGAAGAGTCCACCCTTAGACATGGTGAGCAGCTGGCCCAAGAACACGAAGAAGGAGACTACAGAGAAGACCACTGAGAGAACCATGAGGACCTGCACTGCATGTAGCCACTCTAAAAGAAAGAAGAAAATATTTTAAAACCTATAATAATTCTCATATTTTATCTCTAAGTCAGGGTGGTTTTGATCAAATCCATTTCTTTTTACCTGTTTCTTTTGTAGATGTACACAACCAGGTGCCAGTGGAGTTGTCCAGCCTGCAGTTGTACCAAAGGTCTGAGTGTTTTGTGTTGTCCCACACCCACCAGGTCTTTTAAAGGAGATCAAATAATCAATAAATCAAAGCTATAAGTGCCTCATTAAGTTGATCAAATTTCCTGCGAAATTCAGAATACAATATAAAATTGTGCTTCTAACTTTAAAAACTCTCAATAACCAAGTCCAAGTTAATAAAGATTGTATTGTTCCATTCTTAACAGAGTGTTTCACTCTCAGACTGCAGGTTTACTTGTGGTTCCTAGAGTTTCTAAAAGTGGATGGGAGGCAGAGCTTTCATTAATCAGGCTCCTCTCTTCTGGAACCGATTTCTATAGTGTCAGACCAAAAGGGTGATATTGTCTGCATTTGAAACTAGACTTAAGACTTTCCTTTCCAGTAAATCCTTTAGCTAGAGTTGTCTTGGGTTTCCTGAGCTAAAGATTTTGCTACTATAGGCTTAGAATGCTGGAGGACAAACTGATCACATGTCCTCGCTCTGCTTCTGTCTTCTCTCTGCTCTCCATGTTTGTAATTATTGCTGCCATTAGCATATTTTTATTTGTTGTCCTTCCCATAGAAACTACAGTCTCTGACCCCAGCCAGTCGAGGAAGATGGCTGCCCATCCTGATTAGACTGGTTCTACTGGAAGTTTCTTCCTGTTAAAAGGGAGTCATTCCTTTTCACTGTCGCCTGTGTGCTGCTCAAGGGAGACTGAGACAAAGTGAAGATTTAATTCAGTCTACTGACTTTCTTAGATTGACAACTTTTGCTAAATGTGATTTTATAATGTACTTTATGTGAACATATTGTATTATAATAAAAATTGAATTAACTGTACATGGGTTTTCACGTGAATCTGAATTGGATTTATGAATGGGAGTTTTTATGTTGTCAGTGTTGTCCTCTGTCCTGAGATGATGTTTGTTGTTGCTGAAATATTAATTTCATAGGATCGTTACCTTTTCCATAGTTGCAATGAACAGCATTGCTAGTGTGATGAGATGCAGCAGGGTGACAAACACGAGAAGTAACGCCATTTTGAGTTTTCTACAAAAACACAAGAAAAGAACATCTCAGATATTGGTCTTGGGCCTGTGCAGTGCCTTTATGAGGTCAGCAAAGAAACAAAAGAACATGTGTGGAATTAATAAAACTGATCCAAAATACAAAAATCTTGACCTCCCTTCTCAATAGCAAACAGATTTAAAGTCTGGCTCAGCTAAAATTTGGATAAGACAAATGTTAGTCTGATCAACACATTTTACATTTTAGACATTTTTTTAAATATTTTAATGTTCAACACATGCGTCACTGTCCCAACAGGTTCATTTTAATTTACAATAAAAAAATAAAAATAAAAATAAAAAAAACAGCAGAAGGAACAATGTGGGTTCTGTCCTGGCTCTGGAACACTGGACCAGCTCTTTACCCTCACTAGGATCCTCGAGGGGTTTGAGAGTTTGCCTATCCATTCTACATGTGTTTGTGGAATTGGAGAAGGCATTCGACCGTGTTCCTCGTGGTACACTGTGGGGGGTGCTCCGTGAGTATGGGACTGGGTGCTCGTTATTACAGGCTGTTCAGTCCCTATACAAGTGGTGTGAGAGTTTGGATCCCATCAGGGTGAGAGTTGGACTCCGCCAGGACTGCCCGTTGTCACCGATTCTGTTCATAACTTTTATGGACAGAATTTCTCGGTGCAGCCAGGGGGCTGAAGGTTTCCGGTTCGGTGGCCTCTGGATTCCATCTCTGCTCTTTGCAGATGATGTGGTCCTGTTGGCGTCATCGTGCCGTGATCTTCAGCTCTCACTGGAGCGGTTCGCAGCCGAGTGTGAAGCAGCTGGGATGAGAATCAGCACCTACAAATCTGAGGCCATGGTCCTCAACCGGAAAAGGCTGGATTGCTCTCTCCAGATCAAGGGTGAGGTTCTGCCTCAAGTGGAGGAGTTCAAGTATCTCAGGGTTTTGCTCACGAGTGAGGGAAGAATGGAGCGTGAGATTGACAGACGGATTGATGCAGCATTGTGGACTCTGTACCAGTCCGTTGTGGCGGATGGATGGATGGATGGATGGGGAAAAAAAGCATTTATAGAGACAAAAAAAGAGGAAAAAAAGACCTACAGTATCTAACAAGGTTGAGTCAGGTCCTCTGGGTAAATTCTTTGTTAAAATGTTGTCTTTTATCCAAAATACTTCTTAAGTTTTAGAACCTGCAGCAAAATCAGTCTTATTAGCAGGACCTTTTCATAGTGGATCAACCAGTTTGCTGGTGACAGCCAAAACCAGTTGTTCACACGCAAAAGGAGGACCATCAGCTTAATGACATTGTTAGTGCCCTGATGGCCTCCAGCCCTTAGTCCTCCCTTTGCACATGAACAACTAGTTTTGGCTGTCACCAGCAAACTGGTTGATCCACTATGAGAAGGTGCTGCTCATAAGACCAAGTTTGTTGCAGCTCGTTAGACTGAAGAAGTCCTTTGGATAAAAGATGAAATGTTTCAACAAAGAAGAATCCGTCCAGAGGACCTGACTCCTCAATCTTGTTAGACCTACCTGGATTATTGAGCACATATCAGGACAAAACCTCCAGTAGAATAAAAACAGAATGAAATCGTCTGTGAAGATCTTTATCTGTAGAAAGGGCCCATTTAGGTGGGCGGTGGAGTCACAATTAGCCAAACTATGTCGTGATGTTAGATCTCATTAATCACATGGAAGTGACAGGTCCAAAAGACAGTTACAAATGATTGAGACGGTGAAAAGGAAGAAAACATGTTAAAAAGACAAGATGTGACACTTGGTCTTGTTGAAAAGAAGTCGTGTTCACATTGTTCTGTCACATACAGTAAACTGGTTGGCACATTTTTAGTAACATTTTGGGGTTTTCAAGAAGAATGAAAACAAGTACTTAAAGCAGTTCTTTAAAAACACAGCCATCTGGAAGTATTACTTGTTGAAATATTTCATAAAGTAGCATGGGAAAACAAACAAAAAGCTCCTTACCCCAGTTTTTGCTTGCCCAACTCAACAACTTGAGAACAACTTATCTACTCTACAACATCGTGCCCGTTCTGGTGGTCCACACTGTCCTCCAGCTTCGCCACTCCCCTTCTGTTTATTTATTTTCTACAGGCACTATAACTGCAAAGTTTCCAAGGAGAACGCCCATTTCCTCTGTGGCGAACAGAGCTCCCTTCTGCCCAGCCTCTGGGTCGGTCAGTGCATCATCACCCAGAAAGTCTCAAAGGAGACCCACCCATGAGGCAGAGGCACACAAAACCACATGAAAAAGATTTTCTCCATAAACAGTTGACTGGACGTGCGCTCCGGCCAGTGCAGAGAGTGCGGTAACGTGCTGCATTTATTCATGACAGAAAATAAACACACACTTGCAACATAGCTCACATTCTCATAACAGAGCCAATTGATTATGAGGAGCGTACTGGTCACACATTGAAGACTTGGGCAGCAGCCCCTCTTGTGTCTTTTTGTGGGAGTTTTGCTCCTTTAAACACGTATAATTTACTTCCTTTCCAGGATAAACAACGATCTAAAAATAAGGGACCTCGTGATTCGTAAGGCCTGAGAGCCGGCCCCATCTGAGCCCATACTAAACTTTTGACAAAGTTTAAAAATAGTCACACTTTACATTAAGAATGTGCTCAGTTACATATGAATTAAGAGGAAGAAAAGATAAAGTCCTGAAACAGGTTATATTAAAGTAACATTAGTTTGATTATTTCTATATATAGACATGATTTTGTAGTATAAAATGCACATTACACTTATTTTATTCAGGTTCTTTTAAGTGCTGTGAAACTTCACAAGTATACGTTTTTATATCAATACTACAACTCCATTTACAACAAAGCTGGAATATTGTGTAAAATGTAAATTTAATCTAAATTGCAATGATCTGAAAATCTGAAATTTAAAGAAAAAAAATTATATATATATATATATATATATATATATATATATATATATATATATAAAGAGAATTTGATAGATTTACTATATTCCAGTGAGAAAAATGTGGCTTTGTTAGATTTGTAGTTCATCAACATTGCAACTTTAGCAGCATTGTTATTGCAATATGCATCAGCAAAGTGCTCAAAACTCTTATTAATAGTTTAATCAATTAGTAGGTAATAAATGCTACTCTTACAGTTTTTCAGTTATTTTAAAACCACACATAAAGAAGACAGTTGCATTTTTGAGAAATATTTAAAAACAGATCAGTCAAAATTGATTTTTTAAAATTTATATAATACACATTCATAATCTTCTTTGGGTCTTTTTGTTAAAATACAATAAATAAGTAATAATGATTTATGACATTATTAGTAAATAATAATATTATATTTGAAATAAATCACCAATTTATCACTGACTCTTTCGTTGCTAATTTTACATTTACCTAAACATTAGCTCATGAGTGACTGCTGGATATGACATAGACACTGCAACATATACAGTAGGTTCAAGGTGACTTTATTGTTATTTGCATCACATGCAAATTGTGCATCACATGAGGTGGAACAAAATTGTGTACTCAAGGTCCCAGTTGCACCCAAAAATGGCAAAAATATAAAAGTATAAAAAGAAACAGTATCCAAGGATCTAAAATATAAGCTAAACAATAATAATGTCATATAATATGATAAATTAAACAGCAGCCTGAATATGAGTCTGTTGTGAGCAGATGGGTATGAATACAGCAGCTGAGAAATCAAGTAAGAAATCAGCAGCATGGATAATCAACAGCACAGATAAAGTGACATCTCCAATTAAAGTGACATTACAGTGATTTTTCTGGTTAGGGATCTATGAGTCTAACAGCTTCAGGGTAGAAGCTGTTCCTCAGTCTAGTGGTTCTGCACTTAATTCTCCCCAACCTTCTGGCTGAGGGGAGCGGGATAAAAAGTGTGTGTTCTGGGCGAGCGGGGTCCTTCGTGATGTAGCTGGCCCTCTTCCTGCATCTGGAGGTGTAGAAAAGAAGAAGGTTAAGATGATGGATGGACGGCTGGACAGATGGATGGATGGGTGGATAGATGGATGAACGATCAATCAACTTAGGTAATGTTATTTTTCAGCAATTAGTACCAGATTAATTGCTCATTAACTGTATCTAAGCACATTGTGTGGAGACACTTTTACAGTGTTATAAAAATGTTGAAAATAATTTGATCAAAAAAATTAAATTCCCTTTTATTTATTTTACTTACTTAATTCTGTAGGTCTAGAGTATTTTTTTTAATTTGCAGATGAGTTTGTCGCCCTCTAGTGTTCATATCTATAAACTATGGAAACAACTATTGTAAACTACCCGCTGAGAACAATAAAATAAAATATATAATATTGATAAGAGTTGCATCAAATGTTTCTTGATATTACAGAAATGTTGGCAGTTTTAAACAGTTTTGGGTAAATTTATTTTGTTTTTGGTGTGTTTAGTCCCCTCTTACATCTTGGTATAGTCCGTTGCCATGGTGATAGTAGAAGCCGATTCATTCCGCCACGCCTGTCCTCAGCTCTGCTCGTTTGGCTCCATGTTACTCCTTGGAAGGTGAGCAGAACATAACCTATAATGCACATTTTCAGTCCACTGCTTTGTATAATTCCGTGCTGTGCGGGAGTCTTCGGTAATTAATCCCTAAAGAGTCGTCCGTTAGCAGAACCAGGACTACAGTTAGCTTGACTAGCATTAGCTCTGCGTTGCGATAACTTTCTGAACAACTTTGCTAACTTGCGAGCACAAAGCTCGGGAGCATTTCCCGTTTAGTGTGCTACAGCTACAACTGTTTTCACTGCAAAACGCTTATTTTAGCTTGTTTTTGCGCAGAGGGGACTTTAAAGAGTGGGCAAGACCATATTCTCCTAGAAAAAACAGTAAAAGAAGGTCTTGCTCTCCTCGTCAGACATCTTGAAAAGCTTATCCAAACCAGTCTTTTAAAAAATTCAGTTAGTTGTAATTATTGTATGTCAGGCTAATTACATTTTCATGCATTTAGCAGGAATGTAGCAAACATCTTGCTGCTAAATCTTCTCTAGGCTAGAGCTGCGGTATTCAAATAATGCTTTATGATAACAGAACAGCACACATGCATTGCTCATCAGCTGCAAGATTTGCATAGCCTGAGGTAATGCTGAGTAGTCCAAGTTAAAGTGTGAGTCAGATGGTGTAGGTAGTGTTTATGACTGCAGGTCTCGTCTTGATAGAGTTCAAGAGAATTTTCTGTATTTTTGCTATCTTTACAGAAGAGCTGGAGGACAGGAGACATTGTCCTGGATGCATCACAGAAACAGAAATGGATGGCAGTGAAGAAGTTTGAAGATCATTGACATATCTTTGTAAACTGAGCTGTGCTCTGTGTGGGATATCATGTAGGCAGAGTTGCTCTTTGGAACCAATTTTTTGATGTGTAACGATGGATCATGAACAGGTATTATTATTTTTTTTTAATTTGTCATTGTTTGCAACACAGAAACACATGCTTTCATTTCTTAAAGTTTCTTTCTCTCGTTATCGGGGTAGCTGCTGGTGATTTATTTTACATAATCTAAAATGTACTCGTCGCAATGACATGAGGACAGGTCAAAACAGAACTTGTCAAGTAAGAAATAGAACTTACTCCGTGTCCCTAAAAGAAAAATTTAGAAGCAAAATTGGAAAACGGTTGCCAACTACATGGTGTGTTGTTACAGACTCAGCCGAAGTGACTGAAAGTAGGTCAACAACAGCGACATCCATGAAAAGGCCGTTTGTGATGAAGAAATCTGATGTTTGATGTGCTGATACACATTTTTGCTCAGATTTTTTTCAATTTAAATAAGCACACAAAAATATTTTAAATGGTGAATGATTGTTCTGATATTTAGTCCTGTCGGTTGTCTAACTCGTTCTCTCGCTTTCCTTTCATGTTTAGCATCAGATTCATTGTTGTTTTTATCTAAATATCTTTTTGATTCTGCACTTTTCTGACTTTGCCTTCACAGACTACTGCCAGCCTAACTAGGGAAGTCACATGACTCAAGCCTCCACAGGGTTTTTGGTCATTCAGATCATTTCTTTGTTTACATTGCATGTGTACTGTTGTGGATAGAATACCACGTCGTGTTCAAAACGGCGGAGGCGTCG